GATGCGTCTCTCTCCGCCGCCTGACAACATTGACTCACTTGACCCCGCCGTCCTCCGTCGATTTCGCCGTCAACTCCTCAAAAACTACTCCTCCTGGTGCTCTTTCCTCGGTCTCAAATCCAACGTTTGGCTTTCCGACCGCCATAATTCCTCCGACCACCGCCGTGAGTTGCTTTATGTCTCACTTTACCTTCTTATCTGGGGTGAGTCTGCAAATCTGCGTTTTGTTCCTGAATGTTTGAGTTATATTTTTCATAACATGGCGATGGAACTGAATAAGATATTGGAGGATTATATCGATGAGATGACTGGTAGGCCGTTTTTGCCTTCAATTTCTGGTGAGAATGCTTTTCTGGATCGGATTGTTAAGCCAATTTACGATACGATTAAAGCTGAGGTTGAGAATAGTCGGAATGGTACTGCCCCACACTCTGCGTGGCGGAACTATGATGATATTAATGAGTATTTCTGGAGTAAGAGGTGTTTTGACAAGTTGAAGTGGCCTATTGATACTGGGAGTACATTCTTTGTGACTACTAACAAGGGAAAGAAGGTGGGAAAGACGGGGTTTGTGGAGCAAAGATCATTTTTGAATTTGTATAGGAGCTTTGATAAATTATGGATCATGCTAGCATTGTTCTTGCAGGCTGCAATCATTGTAGCTTGGGAGCAGAGGGGGTATCCGTGGCAGGCACTGGAGAGGAGGGAGGTTCAGGTGAGGGTGTTAACAGTCTTCTTCACGTGGAGTGGGATGAGGCTTTTGCAGTCACTGCTTGATGCAGGAATGCAATATAGTATCGTTTCGAGGGAGACCCCATGGCATGGGGTGAGAATGGTGTTGAAGATCGTGGTTGCAGCAGGGTGGATTTTGATTTTCGGGGTATTCTATGGGAGGATTTGGACACAGAGGAATAATGATGGGAATTGGACCAGCGCAGCTAACAAGAGGGTGGTGAATTTTCTTGAGGTTGCTTTTGTTTTTGTTGCTCCAGAACTGTTAGCTTTGGCACTCTTTATTCTGCCATGGGTCAGGAATTTTCTTGAGAACACAAACTGGAGGATATTTTACCTGTTATCATGGTGGTTCCAGAGTCGGACATTTGTGGGTCGTGGGCTTAGGGAAGGCCTTGTCGACAACATAAAGTATTCCCTCTTTTGGGTGGTAGTGCTTGCGACCAAGTTTTCCTTCAGTTACTTCCTACAGATCAAACCTATGATTGTTCCAACAAAAGCACTGTTGCGCCTCAGGGATGTGAAGTACGAATGGCATGAGTTTTTTAACAACAGCAACAGGTTCTCAGTAGGATTGCTTTGGCTTCCCGTTGTCCTGATTTATCTTATGGATATTCAGATATGGTACTCAATCTACTCTTCATTTGTTGGGGCAGCTGTTGGATTGTTTGATCACTTGGGCGAGATTCGGAACATGCCACAGTTAAGGTTGAGATTCCAATTTTTTGCAAGTGCAATTCAGTTTAATCTGATGCCAGAGGAGCAGTTGCTGAATGCCCAAGGGACTCTAAAGAGCAAGATCAAGGACGCCATCCTCCGTTTGAAACTCAGATATGGTTTTGGTCGACCATTCAAGAAGCTTGAATCAAACCAGGTAGAGGCTAACAAATTTGCCTTGATTTGGAATGAGATAATTGCAACTTTCAGAGAAGAAGATATTCTGAATGACCGTGAGGTTGAGTTGTTGGAGCTGCCACAGAACACGTGGAATGTTAGAGTGGTTCGTTGGCCATGTTTGCTTCTCTGCAATGAGGTGCTGCTTGCACTCAGCCAGGCAAAGGAGCTGGTGGATGCTCCTGATAGGTGGCTCTGGCATAAGATCAGCAAGTATGAGTACAGGCGGTGTGCTGTTATTGAGGCTTATGACTGTACAAGGCATTTGCTGCTGGAAATTGTCAAATTGAACAGCGAGGAGCATTCCATCATAACAACCTTCTTTCAGCAGATTGATCAGTGGATTCAGCTGGAAAAGTTCACAAAATACTACAATCTGACTGCTCTGCCCCAGATCCGCGGAAAGTTGATTGCGCTTCTAGATCTCATACTCAAGCCAAAAAAGGATGTTGACAAGATTGTGAATGTTCTCCAGGCCTTATATGAGGTTGCCACTCGGGATTTTCTGAAAGAGAAGATGACTGGAGATCAGCTGAGAGAGGAAGGTCTGGCTCTTCAGGCCTCTGCGACTAGATTGCTTTTTGAGAATATAGTTTCATTGCCAGATCCTGAAAATGAGACTTTTTATCGGCAGGCTCGCCGCTTGAACACTATCCTAACATCTCGGGACTCTATGAGTAATATCCCGAGAAATCTTGAGGCGAGACGTCGACTTGCCTTCTTTAGCAATTCTCTATTTATGAACATGCCGCACGCTCCCCAAGTTGAGAAGATGATGGCTTTCAGTGTTTTGACGCCTTACTACAATGAAGAAGTACTGTACAATAAGGAACAACTTAGAACTGAGAATGAAGATGGGATTTCTACATTATATTACTTGCAGACTATTTATGCCGATGAGTGGGAAAATTTCTTGCAGCGAATGCGTAGAGAAGGAATGGTTGATGAGAGGAAAGAGTTATGGACAACGAAGCTGAGAGACCTTCGTCTTTGGGCATCGCACAGAGGGCAGACTCTTTCTCGCACAGTTAGGGGGATGATGTACTATTATCGAGCCCTCAAAATGCTGGCCTTTCTGGATTCTGCATCTGAGATGGATATCAGAGAAGGGTCAGTGGAGCTTGGTTCTATGAGGCATGATGGTGGCATTGATAGTTTAAGCTCTGAAAGGTCTTCGTCTTCAAGGAGGTTGAGCAGAGCTGACAGTTCAGTGAGTATGTTGTTTAAAGGCCATGAGTATGGGACCGCTTTGATGAAATTCACATACGTTGTTGCTTGCCAGATATATGGTACTCAGAAGGCCAAAAAGGATCCGCACGCGGAGGAAATTTTGTATCTGATGAAAAATAATGAAGCCCTTCGTGTAGCATATGTTGATGAG